TGATCTAATGAGATCATTTGGGGCTGCTGTCCTGGGGCTGGGTGCAGTTTGAGCGTCTGGCAGTTCCCAGCTCTGCGGCTGCTTCCTGCAGCCTCCAGCTGCTCGTGAGTCTTAGTGCAGCCTTCAGCCTGGGACAGGGCTCGCCTTCCCAGTACTCAGCACGATAGCAGAGACTAGGGACATTTAAAATACTTGTTATTTCCATCTCTTCAAAGGCAATACATCACATAGAGCAGTGCTTAAGAGTAACAAGAGGCTTTTTTGCTTTTGTGTTGTTGTTGCTGCTGTTAACACACTAAGTGGTAGTATGTTAGACACATTCTGCATTTTCCCCAGCACAGAATTACTGCATTGATTCTAAGGGGGCATATTGTCACACAGCTGGAGTAGAAGCCTGGTGTCAACCTTTCTGCACACAATCCTGTGTTGCATGCTTGTACATAAGGAAGAAATGGTATTTTGTACTATAGAAGTTGCTCTTTGATGAACCCTGCCAATGTTCCATTTTCCAATCCACATTTTATTCCCCTTAGAATCTTTTCTCTCCACCGGATACCAGCAGTAGACAATAACTTAAGGAATTACAAGCCTGGTTTTTTTCTTTTTAGATACATATCATCCTGAGCAAAGCCAACATCAGAGTGCATACCTAGAAAGATTTCCCTTTATTTGGAAAGTCACACAATTAGCTATACTTGCTTCATTTCTAATTTCAAAGAGAATGGAGACACATTTGCCATGAGGTTTCTAATAACATATTCCATATTCCATGTTTAATTAAGAGCTTCTATCAAGAAAGAGAACCAGAATCCCTTTTCTTCATCAGAAAATAGCAGCCAGAAAGCCAGTAGAGCTGACCCTAGCCCAGAGCAGGCTCGTGGTTAATGCTGACAGGGACAGAGTGGTAAAGAAAGGTGTTGGCCCAGAACAGATTGCCTGGGGAGAACTGGACCCGTCAGGCTCAGCTGAGTACCGAGCTGGTCATTTATCACTGTCAGAGGGGATGGGCTAGGAGCTGGGGGTGGGGGGGAGTAGGGGGGCCAGGGGGGGGTGTTGACTGATAACTGACATCACCGTCCTGTGACCTCTAGCATGGTGGAGGAACATTCTGCTATATGCTGGGAGAATTGCTAAAACCACATAGGACCTTCCATCCACTGTGTTGTATGGGACTGTTTGTAGAAGCAGAGTTCAGAGCGTGGGAGAGGCTATAGGATGAGCATATGCTGTAGTGGGCTGTGCACTGACAGGATGAGCAAATGCCATGGTGGCCGTGCACCTTAATTACCTTCCTAGGACCTGGATCCTCTGCACAAGGTCAAACTGATATCCACAAATGTCGGAGAGAACATAGATAACTTCACTTTATCTGAGTATTGGGGTGCAAAAGCAGCCCATGCCAGCAGAGTTGCACCCTACAAGTCTGTGAAGACTATCTCAGGAAAAAATAATGAAAAGTATTATTTCTCTGTGGTGCTTTACTGACATGTTTTAGCATCTTAAAATCTAAAATACTTCATAATAAATGGGGAGCATCGATGTTCGTATAGAGGGTGCTTATCTTGAATTATAGTTCAGCACCGTTGACCTTCACAAGGATGTCACTCCCATAGGCTGAAGCCTAGATCTTAATCCGTCAGATAACCTTATTTTAACTCTCACAATTATTTAAGGTCCATGGTCATTAGGAATTATTTGCACTAGTGGGGAGCATTTCGTGAAAGTCAAGTAGAAATTTTCTATCTATGAATACATGATTGTATGCCTTCCCAGACATGTAAGATATATTTTTAAAAATTGGCAACCAATGAAAATATTTAAAGAGTGAAACCAGCCACTTCTTCAAACTCAGGGAGTGACAGGGGAGCGCTTTTGTTTAGAAGTTTACCCTGGGAGTGTAGGCTCACAGTGGGCACTGGAAAGAAGGGGTGCTGTGGACGCAGGCAGGGTGCATGCATCTGGTGGGGAACAGGAGTGGAGAGGTGGGCGAAGGGTGAAGATAGGGCGAGACTTTGGGCCTTGTGACTTTCCTTTGGGGCTGCTGCTGACCCGTGCTTGGTAGCCATACCGATGATAAATTGGTCCAGACAGCTCACCAGTGTGAACTGAGGGTCGGGTTTTGGGGGTTACTAACATGACTGAGAAAGGCTATACCTCTGGCTGGCCTAAAGGTCAAAGACTAAGGGTTTGTAACTGAAGTCCAGGTCAGGGGCCTGACTCTGGGAGTTGGGATTCCAATAGACAAGACTTTGCCACCCTGAGAATCCAATCAGAGACATGATGGTTAAGCAAGACAGGAATAATGTCTTATACCTTGTCGCCACACTGGGAAATGGGAGGACTAGTGTCCTGAGCCCTGTCTTTGGGGCCTGTGTTTTGGAAGGAACAAAATCAGGGAGCAGGGAGTACGTGTAGACCAACAAGTCTTAGTCTCCTATCAAGTCTTGGTCTGTATCTGGTTGGTCATTGTCTCAGGCACGTTCCTGCAGAGTCCCACGGTGTTTCCAGGGAAGCCATTGCTGCCTGAACAAGATGATTCCGTTTCTGCTAAGAGACAGTGGCATTGGCTTGGACGAAGATGCACCCCAGGTCCTGTCACACTTGGGGTGGGGTGGGAGCTTACATCTGCTGTAAGCCTCATTGGTCCTGGAACCTTGAAGAGTTCCTCTTACCTTGGTCAGTCTTCAAGTGGGGGAAAAGAGAGATTAGGCAAATTTAGGGCTAATCAACCTATTACCAGTCTTTAGATAGAGTCTGTTTAAGTAATCAATGTATCGATGTGCAGAATTAAGCAGGGACTGGTCCCAAAGCTTAAAGCAGTGAGGAGAAAAATTTTTAAAATGGAGGCAGAGATGCCAAACTTATATGCTGTTTTTAGATGCCTTCAGATGTCTTCAGGCCCAAGTGAAAAGTTGGTGCTTTGTAGCAAAGCAAGCTGTAAATCTTTTTTCCAGGCTTTGTCTAATCCAGTACCCCTCAATTCTGGGATAATTCTGTGTCCAGTGGTTACCAGGAACTCCCTAGACAGCAGCTGTCCTTCCGGAAAGCTCCAGGTGTGTTCTTTTGGCGACCTAGCCCATAGGAGCTTGGAGCATCTAAATCTTTTCTTAAGTCCCCTACCTAGCTGCCTATCATCCAGAAGACAAGAATTTTAATAATCATAGTTTGAGCACAGGACAGGAAGATGATGACTAGTTTATACCTAAATCTGAATTATTGCAGGTATATCATTGATTTGTTTTGCTGTAGCTGGTATGTGTGTGTTTGTGTGTATGTGTTGGTACTTAGGGCCTGGGTGCTGTCTCTTAGCTTTTTCACTCAAGACCCATGGCTCCACTCCTAGATTTCTAGTAGTTAATTGGAGATAAGGGTTTCCTGACTGTCCTGCTAGGCTGGCTTTGAAACAATTCTCAGATCTCAACCTTCTGGGTAGGATTGCAGGTCACTGGTACCTGGCTGCTGTAACTATTTTAAGGAAGGAAAGGGATAAAATTTGAAGCAATTACACAATTGCAATATCAATGTGACCTTCTAAAGCTTTTGAACATGCCTCCAAATCCCCTTCAAAATCTTTAGGAAAGTTTACTTTGACCTGGTCTTACGCTAATTAACCTTTCTGTTCCTCAGGCACTAGGCTTTCAAACATAGATGCAAATCTATTCCTTATTCTCATATATCCTTGATGGAGGACAAGTCATCTCCATCGTTGAGTTATTCTCTTGGAGCATGTAGACTTGGAGCACACCCCACTGAGCAGAGAGCAGGGGGAGGGATGTGTGCCTCCCCAGCCAGATTGGAGGCATCTACCCTGCCAGGACAGGGCCACAGACGGTCCTGCCTGTCGACCCTCCTGTCTCCACTGCAGACCTTGCTAGTAATCAGTAGTTAGGATCCAGTTAGTGAACAGCTGTTCTGTTTACTAAGTTGGATTGTTTCTGTGATGAAACATGCCACTAATTGTGAAACAGAAATTTACAAATGCTGACATTTATAAGGGCTATGCATTCCTCACATTTTCTTTAGCCTATACGATGCATTTTAAGGAACTTCATGCCTTGACCCCTGAATACTTGCCTTAAGAAAGTTTCAATGGGTAGTTGCTTTAGAAACACAGCCAGAATTTCCAGAAATAGGCCCCACTGTTGTTAGTTTAAAATACACACACACACACACACACGTGCGCGTACACACACACACACACACACACACGTGCGCGTACACACACACACACACACACACACACACACACACACACACACACACACACACACACACACACCTACCTACGTACCTACCTACCTACCTCATTATGCCTTCGTGAGTCCTAGATGGAGCATACTTGAGAGCTTGGGGGTTCATGAAAACAAGTGAGCACAAGAAAGCCTAACCGGGTTGCTTTTTATTTCTAAATCAGTCCTTCATTTGCCCTAAGGAAGGAGCACAATTTCAAGTGGGGGCCTGGGGCTGAAGGGGTAGTGAGAAGCATGGGAACATCCATCTGGTCTTTCAGATGGTGAATGTCTTTGGTTCTTGGAAGCAGTGCTTGAATTGCAGTGAAGTGACATGTTCTGCTATTGGTTCTGTAAAAATCAATCCCAATGTTTCCCCGCTCCTTTCCCTTCTTGCACACTGATCACATCGATGTGCTTATTTGGTACTATTTTTTGTCAGAGTTTAGCTGAGAAGGTGGGGCATCCTTTAACTCCAGGGGGTGGTCAGACATAGCCGGAATCCTCTGACCAGGGGTCGAAGAGCCAGTTGTTCAGGCGTGCAGCCGCGTGGGCCTTGGCACGCTCGGGGCCCCCTGCCTGAGCTGGCTGGTGTCTGCTCTTAGGCAATGGCCATCAAAAACCAGGTAAGTGAAACTTTGTTTTGAGGGTAGGCTTTGGTGCATGTCTAACTCCAAACAAGAAGTCGCTCATTGACACATTTAATGACATGTGTTAGTATGTATGTAGAACTTTACACTTAAACTTGCATTTCTTTCTTTCTTTCTCTAGCCAGACATCATGTCAATGGCAACAGAACGGTTGAACCTTTCCCAGAGGGAACACAGATGGCTGTATTTGGTAAGATATCAACTCGGAACGAAAATCCAAATTCTGAACAAAGCTTGCTGCCAACTTTTTTAGCTTTAGCAAGTGTCCTCCGGGCTTCAAAATCTGGGCTCTTCTAGATATTTACAAGTCGTTACAGCCAAGAAAACTCTTGAGTTCTTAGTAATTCCTGGGATTGGGAACACTTACTCTGTAGAATCTTGTGTACTTTTTTTTTCTTCTTCTTCTCACTTTGACAGCACAAATACCAAACTGTGTATTTGCTATTTCTTTCGTCCACACTGTGAATTAACCTGCTAATTTGGAGTTTGATTTTTTTTCTTTGCTAAGAGGAGTTTTTTTTTTCTCCTCTGGGAATATATAACTTTATCAAAGGCTAGGATTGAAATAGTTTGGAGTTGTTATTCCACAAAATCAACCTAATTGGATGGTCTCTTTTTTTTTTCTCCATCAATCGGCACATTCCTTAGAAAACATACATTAAAAATGTCTCAAGCAGAGTAAAGTCCAGTTCTTGATTGCATACCTATAACACGATTACAAGGTTGAGCAGAAGGATTTTTCTTTTTCAAAACTCTTTGGTGAAAAAGCCCATGTCAGTCTGCATTTCTCACTTCCATAGCAGATGGCAAATAAACTTCCTTCAAAATATCCCTGCATCTGGCATGGTCTTTGCCTGCCTATAATTCCTCCCTCCCTCCCTCCCTCTCTTCCTCCCTCCCTCCCTCCCTCCCTCCCTCCCTCCCTCCCTCCCTCCCTCCCTCCCTCCCTCCCTCCCTCCCTTCCTCCCTCCCTCCCTCCCTCCCTCCCTCCCTCCCTCCCTCCCTCCCTCCCTCTCTTCCTTCCTTCCTTCCTTCTGACAGTTTCCCCTTTGCCCTTGCCTCACTTCTTGTCTCCTCCCTTTCTCTTCTATGATGTTCCTGGACTATCTTAGGCCTTACCACATCGGTCATCCAGAATTCCAGTTGGAAATGAAACCATCTTCCCTGGTTCATTTCCTTTAGCCTCTTGACAAGCGTGGCTCTCTCTCTTTCTCCTACTTCACACCTCTTCCAGCTTCTATTCTACTCTGGTCTTGCTAGTAATCTCCAGAAGGGCACACGGTGCTTTGAGGCCTTAAAGTGGGTTTGCCCTGGAGGTTGGACTCAGAGCACCTTAGTCCTTAAATGCATACACTGGGATGGAACAGTCCCCTCCATCTCGGAGATGGAGGAAGCTAGCAACCATGAAAACTGTGGAGCATGGCCATCTTCTACCCAACTGCTCCAGTCAGCTCTCAAAGTTTTAGGATGGCACCAGCATCCATTAGAAATCATTTTCAGAAATTTAAATGGAGAAATTTGATTTTGCAGAATCCATAATGGATGCTAGTATGTGTGAATTGTGAACCTTCCTGTCTTGGCACCATCTGCCACCATGGGACAGCAAACGCCACACCTATCAATGTTCAAAGTTTTTGTTTTTTAATGATTACTCAAAGTTTCTCCAATTTGACAACTCCACGTTAGAAGGGAGGTTCCCCGCTGTGATATTTTGGATCTAGAATGTCCCACAAAAGCTGGTGTGTTGAAGGCTGGGTGTCCAGGTGGTGGTAATGCTCTGCACGGTGGTAGAGCCCATGGGAAGGAAGGAAGTGGGCCTACTTGGAAGGAAGGAAGGCCTCTGGGGCCTTGTCCCCTTCTCACTCTCTGCTTACTGGCCGCCATCAGGTGATTAGCTTTATCCCACCATGTGTCCCAGCCATAATGCTCTGCCTCTCCACATGACAGGACCATGAAATACTGGGCTAAAACCTCTGAAATCATGAAGCAAAATGAGCTGACACAGTTTGACTTCAGAACTGGAAATGTCAGGGAATAAAGCTCTGGGTCAGGATTTTCTTCTCCTTTCTTTTAGGTCTCTAGTGCTAAAAGTTCAAATCCAAGGACTTCATGATTTGACGCTAGGCAGAAATGGCCTCCTTCCTAGCCTCAGGTTTCTGATGAGAGGCTTCTGGTGAGCATTGGGCCTTTTCAACTCTGGGAGGCCATGGTGTCTGGCCAACATATGTAGTGTAAGGAGAATTCCCACGATCTAGCAGAATTTATACAGATCATAAAGTGAGCTGATTGACATCTAAGACTTCTTTCTTTAGAATTAAACTTCGGCTCTTCCAGATGCTTAAATTAAGGCACAATTTGGTTAAGTGCACACTACAGTAGATTCCAATTCATGTTTCCCAAATGGTTCTCCTTTCAGATCGCTGGTTTCCAGGAGGGAGTAGGTTTTCAGGGAGGGTTCTGTCATTCTGGGTTGTTTAGAGCTGCACTGAAAAGCTCACACTAAGACGGCACTTGATACTTGGACATATATTGGGCACTTCGTCCTGCCAGCACCTTGCAAGGCTGACAGGCTATGAAACATGAAACCCTCTTAGAGAGCTCAAGTGACTTATCCAGGGCCACTTGGCTAGGGGAGCCGGAGTTGGAGCCCAGGTCTAAATTGGCCCAGAGTCACCATTCTTTTTATGGCAGTTCCCGCTCTGCACCGGGGAAGGACCCTAATTGGGACTGGCAGATTCAGAAATGCTGTTCAGTGGGTTCCACACACAAAAGCATGATTTTCAGCCAAGCCAATTTAGCAAATTGATTTGTAAACTCCTGTGCACTCTCAGAGTGCTCTGAAGGACTCTTGAGCAGTTTTTGCTGGGAAAATGCTGGTTGGGCAACATCTTCCACGGCTGTTTCCTCGACTTGGTTTTAGTCTGAGGACTAATGGCCCACATCTACTCGGCTGTGAGCTAACCAGAGCAACGGGGGCTCCTTTTTCACTTGTCTGAGCTCACTCTTCAGCCTCAGAGGTCTTTAATGTAGGCCTAAATAGTATCAGCAAGTACAGTTTCATTATTGCCTTGTTATTTGAATGGGCCTTCTTGAATGCTGTCTATATAGGAACTTTTAAGTTTAATCCACTCAGCAGGTGATCGCTGAGCTCTTAGGTTGGTGTGCACAATATGAGGACTGACATGGGAAAGGATCAAGGTATAGTCCAGTGTGAAAAATGCACCAGCGGGCTATTATATCAAGTGATCAGAGGATATCTACACGGCTCCTTAAAAATGGCTTTCTGGCATACAATCCTTGCAGATTATTTTTAACTCAAGACATTTTTTTTCTCTAAGACTGTCTTTTGTAGTCCAGCATTGAGCTTTTTGTTCCAGGCCTTGTTTTTTCTGCCACCCGAGTTCTTGACTCCTTTGTTGCTTTTCCCATCAGCTGCACTGGGACAATGCTAATGAAGGCAGTGAGCCCTGTCCACCAGGCGCCCTACCCCCCTGGCTGCCCGGGTTGCCCCCTTTCAAGTCAGTGGGAGTCCTTTCCTCACATACTGCAGAAGTGGGACGGGACATTTTGCAATTACTGACTGTCTTTGTTCCTGGTAGCCTCAAATGCCTCGTGGCCATCATCCCTTTAATCCTTCCTCACACCAGCCCTGTGAAGTGGGCATTATTATGTTCTTTTATAGGCAGAGAAACTGAGGCACCCAGAGATGAAAGAAATACGGTGGAGTAGCGGGAAGGCAGTCTTGGGCATGAGAACATCTTTTGCTGCCACGCTGTGCCTGTCTGTTTTAGGAAGCTTCTCTGCAGCTCCCGATATCTTAATGAAAATGACATCTGCTGGCAGTGGGCCGCTCTGACCTGCAGAGAGCCAGGCTGCGGCCTCCCACGCAGGGGCCGCTTCAGCCTGGAACTACTGTTATATCAAGGAGAAGGGATCATTTAATGCTAAAGCAGACACCTACTGAGAAGAATAGAAAGTGAAGGGCAGGGGATTCCAGGATAAAGCTGAGGAACCTGTGGCCTCATTTACAAAATAAAATACTTAAAAAAAGTGTAAAGTATAACTCTTGCACATAAGTTTATTGTCAGAACCAGGACACATTTGACACCGAAAAGTATGGCAAAGAAAACAAAACCTTGAAATGATGAGGTGTATACTTGAAAGATGTCAGGCAACTGACATCTGCTTATGAGGTGCTGAGGAATCAGAACCCAGGGCCTCATGCATGCGAGGCACGCACTCTACCACTGAGCCACCCTCCCAGCCCCCGATCAACAATCATTGACCAAAGTAAAAATGAGGAAAAAATATGAACGTGTGAAACCTACGAATAAAGGAGCGGTGAGCAGTGGTGGGCCAGTTGACTCTGATTGCAGCCACACTCACTTGTGCCACCGTGGAAGACGCGCCACGCTCTCCGAGAACGACTCAGATCAAAGGCCGATGCGTATGTATAAAACCTGGCTCGCGGCACTTCAAAGAGGAATGCGTGCGGTCTGAGCACACACTTGGAATCTTCATGATAACAAACTCTCCATCAGCTCAGGTATTGAAGTGGTACAACAGCTATCCCTAATCCATGGGTAGTTGGGGCTAAATAGCTTTTAAGATCCTTTATTCTTGATTAATGAGATTTTTACCGTGTTTCAGAATTTTAAATCTATTTTCTGTGTTTGTGAGGGGGGGGAAGAGAGAGAGAAACAGAGACAGAGAGACAGAGAGAGTACATGCCAGTACTGGGGCTTGAACTCAGGGCTTTGCACTCTCACTGGCTTTTTCAATCAAGGTTCTACTGCTTGAGCTGCAGCTCTACTTCCATTAAACCTATATTTAAAAAAAAAAGATTACTTCTGACTGAAATACTTTTATGCTGTTACTTAGAGACTTACTTCCAGGCTGTTTGGTGAGAAGTAAGGTGGGTGGGCAGAGTGTGAGCATTCAGAAACGGACACAAGCAACAGCACCCCAGCCCCTTGGAGTTGTCCTGGGTGATCTGACACCCACACCCGGCAGTGTCTGAAAAGCCCACGTTCTGGGTCAGGCTCTCCTGGAGCCCTTTGGCATGGGGCAGGAGGCAAGTTCCAGTCCAAAACAGCGGGGGACACACTGATGGTCTTGTCATGTGTCGCTGTTGGTGGACTGGCTGAGCCTGCACAGATTGTTCCCAAGTAACCCAGGAAAAGGGCTGAG